AGCTGATTCTTTTACAACACTGGAAAAAAAAAAGAAAACACATTGGATCTAGAGTCCAGACTCTTAAAAACATCGAAAAGAAGAAATACTCTTGATTCAAACAGATTTAAGCTTAAATCAAGAACCAAGCCTCTTAATTTGAGCGGATTTCCTTTTGTTTTGATTTAAACTTAAATCTGATTGAATCAAGTGTCCTTTTTCTTGTCAATGTTTTCAAGAGTCTGGACTCTAGATCCAATGTGTTTCTTTTTCCAGTGAAGTGCCCATTTTTGTATTCCGTCAAACTTTCCATTCAGAGATTGGGGTGTTTATATCAGCAAGATTACCTTTACCAAGGGCTGAAAAAGGCTGACTTGAAACTAGGGAGTTGCTACAGAGCGGTAATTTTCCGATGATCTCAGTTCTATCAATGCCCAATCAATTATATTTCTTGATGAGTCCGCTCCAACGGGCTGATTATTGAAATTGATAGACAAAGCAATAGACAAAGAAGACAAAAAGGATTTGGAGGGATCCTATTGGTAGAAGCGAGTGGTTTCAATGGACAAAGAAGGTAGGTAATAGACAAACTAACGGCAACCTACGAGGGACCCGATAGTAAGTCTATCATTTTCCCCCTTAGTCTATGAGAACCACCCATTTCAACCAATAGGATTGCTTTATACCCCCTATGTCTTCTTTGTCTATAGCTTTGTCTATCAATTTCAATAATCGGTCCGCAGGTCCGAGCCCGCTCAACCTTATGATGACTTGTGACTGACGGCTTGATTTTCTCTGCCGCTACGCTTCTCCTCTGCTTTTGATGAAGTTGTTGATCAGCGTGGAGTTGGGATTCTACTAACGACGTGTCTTTGTTGCGTACCTTTTCAGGTATGATATCCACTACGAGGACCTCCCGGGCCTCTTGAGGCTAGTAGAACGTAAATACCGTGAGGAGTGAAGACAGTGCAAGAGCGGGTATCTGATGCATAAGCGGTGCTTCCCCTCCTTGGAGGCCCTCCAAGAAGCCCGCATCCAGATACGGAGTGGTAAGGATATCTTACATGCGCAATCGAATAACACCAGACCGTGAGGAGTATAAATATCCGTTTGATGAAATTCAGAGGTGGACTGTCTTTACCTACAACGCAGGTAGGATACATCATCTTAGCCTCAACTTTTTAGGCTTTTTAAGGCTGGAAGTGAATTATAGTGAGAAAGTGGCACCATTGTGTTTCTCGCGAAATTTTACGAAATTCAAAATGAGCACATCGAAATTTTTTTCTGCATGGAATAGATTTTCGCGTTTTGCACCTTCTGAACGTCACGTTTTTCCAACTCGTGGAAAAGTGGGCACAACTTTTTTCCCACTTTAGAGCGTAACGCAAGGCGCTGTTTATGACTTTGTAAATAAAGGCATTTTCCCCTAGGTGAGAGAACAGATTGGTCCCCTCACAGGAAGTCGTCTCGTTTAGTTTACAAAAAAGTATGGATGGTCGAATATTTAGATAGTCCACTGGAAAAAAAAACACTTCGGATCTAGAGTCCAGACTCTTGAAAAACATTGACAAAAAAAGATACTCTTGATTCAATCGGATTTTTGCTTGAATCAGAACGAAATCCGCTGAAAGTAAGAGACTTGGTTCTTGATTTAAGCTAGATTCTGATTGAATCAAGAGTACTTTTTTTTGTCGATGTTTTTAAGAGTCTGGACTCATGATCCAATGTCGACTAATTCCAGTGTCGACTATCCGATTTTCGAATTATCGGCACCGAGATAATCGCATCACATTCGAATATTCGCCTCCGAAGTATTCGAAATCGCAAGATTAACCGTTAAATTCAATTTGTATGAGCTTTCTTAAACGCTAATCGTGGAGTAATTAGTGTAAAGTGGGTCTCTTCCCTATTTGAGTATGTACTAGTAAAGACATGCCCTCAATGGTCGTTCGCCGCGCCGCATCATAGTGCAGTGCACGCTGATGAAACAAAAACGCCTTCACTCTCGTGCGTATGCAATACAGGCAACTCCCGAGCAGGAATAGTTGTATCACAGCGCCGGTATCCATTTAGCCGATAACCCGGGTGTTCGGCTGCCAAAGAAGTAACGGAGGGTACTTTGCCCGTTTCCGTACATCATCAAGACACCGTATTTTCCTTCTTTCTCTACTTTAATCCCAAGGATTATAATATGGTAGCTCGGCTCATCTCATCAGTAAGATTCCAAATTGAATCAGTGAGTTCGAGAACACACCAACTCGGAAAAAAAAATTGTTCAGGAAACACCTAAAACTGCGCACCGGGCTAAGAAGTTAGTTAAAGAAAAACATTTTTGGTGCCAAAGGTTAAGCACTTAGAGACTTTGTAAAGCACCAAGTTGAAATCGATACACCATGTGTGATGACAGAGAATGAAGCGTTTAAAAATTTCCGAGTTGCTGTTTTCCATTCTCACCGACTTTCAGATACTGATTTTTCCTAGTCTGCCCAGAAAAATTTATACTTTTCGACCTGAATAACGCTTAAATATTTATATAACTTGTTGGTACAAGGTATAATGAACCGGAAAAAGAAAACCGCAAGATCGGATGGTCACCCGTTTCCCTCGAAATGGCCAAAAATTGGTATTTCCAATGAAATACTCCTATTCTTCCCTTTTCCCGTCGCTGTTTTGAGCACTTCCGAATGCAATTTCGAAATTTCCTTTTGCGTGCAGATGCTTCTATCCATAAGTGTTACTAAACCGTGGAAAATTGAAAATCGAAAAAAACCCGAGTTGGTGTGTTTTTGAACTCACTGATTCAATTGATTAATACTATCAATATGTGAATTCTGAATTTTTGGACGTATTGTCTAAAATCATAGCTAGGCAGGCTGCAGTCTGCAGTGCCTCCGGACTTAAGGTGATTCGTCAAGGCTCCTGGCGCGCGTAGTCGAACTGGTGTGCAATCATCGCATTAATTGTGCCTAAAATCTCTGCAGATTTTGAATTTTTGGCCAAAAAAGGACGAAAACCCCTGCGCATGAGCTTAAGGAATCAATCTAGACCGAAAACTTGGCAAAATTCAGAGAACTGGAAGTAGAGTCCTATTTGGAAAAAACCTCGTATTCGATACAGGTATTGATTTCTGTATCGAATGCGAGGTTTTTTCCAAATCGAATTCTGCTTCCATTTTTCTGAATTTTTCCAATCATTGGGTTCCGTGGGTGATCAACGTCATAGGTTTGAAACGATCCCTTCTCACCCCCTCTCACCGTACTCCACGTAGAGTTGCCATCATTTTTTTCGAACCCTAGGTGCTCCATGTAATTCAGTGTCTATATTCTCCCTATGAAGTTACTCTACCTGTAAAGGCACTCTACTTACGAGGCACTCTATACCCTCCTGGCTAGCCATGGATACACGAACTAGGCGCGAATAGAGTCCCTTCATACTGAGAGTCCAGACAATGTGAACCCATTCCTGATTGGTTCCCGTATTTGAGGTTTTCACAGTGTCACAAACTGGAATAAAGATTACATTTTTACCGATTGCAAAGATTATAATCTGGAATGGACCAGGGAATTACGGGTTCGGCAAGGAACAAACGGAATGAGGGAGGGAACGGAGAAAGGAATTTGAGAATGGGCCGATCAAAGATTACGAAAAACGTTCAATTTCTGTAATCTTAATTCCCGTTTGTGACTCCATGAGGGGGTGTTGTCTTGACTCTCAGTACAAAGGGACTCTAGGCGCGAATAGAGTACCTATATTGAGAGAGTATGGCCACTGGGGTTACCACCTCTGATTGACTCAGCCATCTTAGGCTGAATGGAGCCCTTAGGACCCAAAAATGGCGGACGCCATAAATTAATGTAATGCCAAATGACTCAAAATGTAGTTTTCTTTGCTTATCGTAACGAGAAATTTACTCAAATGCACTCTTGCGACTTCTTTACATATTTTTAAGACTAATCGTGTGCAATTTTTGAGAAAAATTATCTTGAATGTAGTAAGGTTGGCAGCAAGTACGGTTGGTGGTAACCGTCAAAAGTTGGCAATGACCCCCCTCCCATCCACAAAAACCAAAACAAAGCACCGCCATTTTTGGGTCCTAAGCCTCTCCATGGGGCCCAGTGGCCATACTCTCTTAATATAGGTACTCCAGGCGCGAAGCCCCGAACTGAACCACGATATCCAGCGGCAACCATCCGCGTCCCACCACGCAACCTGACGTTAGAGTACCTATATTAAGAGAGTATGGCCACTGGGCCCCATGGAGAGGCTTAGGACCCAAAAATGGCGGTGCTTTGTTTTGGTTTTTGTGGATGGGAGGGGGGTCATTGCCAACTTTTGACGGTTATCACCAACCGCACTTGCTGCCAACCTTACTACATCTAAGATAATTTTTCTCAAAAATTGCACACGATTAGCCTTAAAAATATGTAAAGAAGTCGCAAGAGTGCATTTGAGCAAATTTCTCGTTACGATAAGCAAAGAAAACTACATTTTGAGTCATTTTGCATTACATTAATTTATGGCGTCCGCCATTTTTGGGTCCTAAAGGCTCCATCCAGCCTAAGATGGCTGAGCCAATCAGAGGTGGTAACTCCAGTGGCCATACTCTCTCAATATAGGTACTCTAACGATATCCAGCGGCAACCATCCGCGTCTCACCACGCAACGTGACGTCACGCCACCTTCCGTGAACCCTCGACTCGGAGCGCGGGCCTCGCTTTTCACTTTCCGCCGGCCCGAAAAGCGGTTATCGTCCGGATCGCGCGGCCGCCGCGCCGGGCCGGGCCGGGCCGGGCGACTCCACCGCGAGTCGCCCCGGTCGGCCCGGGGCGGCGACCACTACTGCGTCACGTTGATAAAAATTGTTTATTCTGCCCGACGTCGGCGCGATCTTCTTCCACTCGGATCCGCCAGTTCGTCTTCCAGCGCGGTCCAGCGTGCGTCTCCCGCTCCGCTCGCAGATTTCGTCTCGGCCGTTTCGTTTTTCCCGCCCCCCCCC